ACAGCCATATGTCAAAACTGGATGTATGCAGCAAGCAAGAATTCGTTTTTCTAACCTTCAATGACAAAGATATATTGCATAAGGTGTTCTTCATTTTATAAAATGCAGTTTTTGCCTGTCCTATTCTGTTTCTAATTTAAAGATCTCATTATATATTCACTGTGTAGTAAAAAAAAATTAGGTGACAGGACACATCCTTGTCGTACGCCCTTCTTTACGTTCTGAAATGTACCTTTTTTTCGTCTTTCCAGACGATATTGTTATATTGCGCTATGAGGAGGCATGAGACTCACAGCCCATGGCTATGGTGAGTGTGACTAGAAAGACCCGCCCGTGTCAAGAAAAGTCTTCCACAATGATAGCATGGGATTTTAGGACCATTGTTAACAACATTTGTGTTTAATCCGTTTCTGTTGAGATGCTCAGCTCTCATCCTTTTTGCAGTCATCTCCTCCTTCAGTCTCATTCCTTTCCTGATATGCCATTTCCACACTACACGGTCCATGGCATTTTGTTCCCATGATTCCACCTCAGTACCTGTATTATTCGTGTTCCGCTTGCACACATCTTTATATTGAGTAGAGGTCGGCCTCGACATCTTCTTCCTGTCTTTAATTCACCATAAAAGGATGTCCTTAGGGACTGCCATCCTCCATTCTCCATGTGTGACCCAGCTACATGAGCCTTCTTAGACAGAGCATGGAAAAGACTGTTGTAGTACCTGCTCTTTCCAGTACCTCAGTGTTTGTGATTGTGTCCTTCCACTTAATGCCAAGTATTCTTCTTAGGCATCGCATGTGAAAGCTATTTAGCCGTCTCTCCTGGTTCAAATAGGTTGACCAAGTTTCACTGCCCCAATGCAGAGTGCTGCGAACACAATCCTGATAGACAATGGTTTTTTTTTGTTTTAATTGTGAGCTTTCTGTTCTCCAAAACTCTTTGTCAATCTGCTCATTGTTGTTGCTGCCTTACCTATCCTGATGTTGATTTCTTGGTCCAGCGATAGTTTCATATTTACCGTAGAACCCTGATAGGTAAAATGGTCTATTGTCTCAAGCTCTTCACCGTCAATGTAGACTGTAGGTCTGTCATTAACACCTTGCACCATAACCTTTGTCTTCTTTTTGCTGACTGTTAGTCCAAATTCACAGCACACATCAGCAAAGGCAGATGGTAAACACTGCAGCTCCTTCTCTAAGTGGGTGGTTATTGCAATATCATTCGCAAACAGCAGCTCTCTGATAAGTACCTTTCTTATCCTGGTTTTGGCCTTCAGCCTGCGTGCATTGTAAAGGCTGCTGTCAGATCGAGAATGAATAAATATATCACCCTTCTGATCTCGAAAGGCATGTGTCAAAAGAAGTAAAAAGTATATTCCAAATAGGGTAGGAGCAAGTACACACCCCTGCTTCACTCCATTTTTGATTACATACTCCTCCGATGTTACACCATTAAAGTTAATTGTACCTTTCATACCTGTGTGGAACGACTCAATAATACTCAGTAGAGTAGGTGGACACCCAATCTTCTTCAGTGCGTTAAACAGACCTTTTCGACTAACCAAATCAAATGCCTTGGTAAGATCAATAAAAGCAACATACAGTCTTTGGTTCTGTTCGCAGAATTTCTCCTGCAACTGTCGTAATGAAAATATCATATCAGTGGTAGATCTGTTCCCACGAAAACCACACTGGGACTCTGGGTGAACGCGATACCCCAGGATCTGGAGTCTTCGCAGAACAATTCTCGCCATCACTTTTCCAACAGTACACAGCAGTGATATTCCCCTGTAGTTATTGCAGTCAAAATGTAAAATGTCAAATGTACCTAAACAGTTGTTAATTTCTATAGCTGATGTTTGCTGCCAATACATATTGTATTGCATATACATTATTGTATGTGGTATAGATCAAAAACATGATAAGGACACGAGTTATGAGTAACATTATCTTCACAGCACTCCGGACACATCCGATCCGCTGTACCATGCTCAAAGAATCACTCAGCACACACACGCGGCAATAGTCCTGTGGTTCTAGCCAAATGAAAGCCCGTGTCACCGCCATCACCTCCATCGTCATGATGCTGGTAGTCATGGAGAAGGAACCGGTGGCTTCTTGAACTGTTCTGCCTGAAGAGCGAGCTGTAAATACACAAACATAGGACACGAACATGTGTGTGTGTGTGTGTGTGTGTGTGTGTGTGTGTGTGTGTGCATTCGTGCGTGATTGTGTGTGTGTGTGTGTGTGTGCATGCGTGCGTGCATGATTGTGTGTGTGTGTTTGCATGCGTGTGTGCATGATTGTGTGTGTTTGTGTAAATGTGTGCACGTTTGTAAGCCTGTTATTTAGACACAAAAACTCACGCGTGTGGAAGTAGACAACTGCACCTATGTGGAACCATTTTTGTGAGATAAAATTTAGGTTTGGCCCGTTTTTTTTTTTTTTTTCCGAAAGTTTCTAAAACATCCAAAAGTTCATTAATCCATTAGAAACATCGTTTGTCGGGATTTTCCCCCCAGGCGTCTTTGTGTCTGATGTATAAAGGATTGTGCATGTTTAACATCCGGTAGACATATTTAATTCAAGCTGAATGATAAGCTCAATATAAGGATGTTTTTCTCTTTTTCGTCTGTAATTTCACAAATGGAGCATAAAGCCCTTATCCTGGGATTTTTTTTTTCTTTCTGTCTATGATGTTGTTGCTAATGAAATAGCCTTTTTTAATGTAAACCTTTTACAAGAGATGGCAAACTGCTGAACGTAAAGTTGCCCGACATAACCATAAACGCCATTCAATGAAGATGTTATTCTGCAGCGTTCTGCCTAGGATGTACAACTAACTTTTAAAAAAATCCTGATTCTAGTGAACGTAAATTGTTTAACGTGCCCATTAGGCACATCAAAAAAGTGCATTAAGCACATCAGAATACCGCATTAAGCACATCAAAATACCGCATTAAGCACATCCAAATACCGTATTAGGCATTTCAAAATACCGCATTAGGCACATCAAAACACTGCTTCAAGCGCATCAAAATACCGCATTAGGCACATCAAAATACCGCTTTAAGCACATCAAAATACCGAATAAGGCACATCAAAATACCATGTTAAGCACATCAAAATACCGCATTAAGCACATCAAAATACAGCATAAGGGACATCAAAATACCACATTAAGCACACCAAAATACCGTATCAAGCACATCAAAATACCGTATTAAACACATCAAAATACCGCATTAAACACATCAAAATACCCCATTAAGCACATCAAAATAACGTATCAAGCACATCAAAATACCACATTAAGCACATCAAAATACCGCATTAAGCACATCAAAATACACCATTAAGCACATCAAAATACTGTATGAAGCACATCAAAATACCGTATCAAGCACATCAAAATACCGTATTAAACACATCAAAATACCGCATTAAACACATCAAAATACCGCGTTAAGCACATCAAAATACCGCGTTAAGCACATCAAAATACCGCATTAAGCACACCAAAATACTACATAAAGCTTATCAAAATACTGTATCAAGCACATCAAAATACCGCATTAAACACATCAAAATACCGCATTAAACACAACAAAATACCGTATTAAACACATCAAAATACTGCATTAAACACATCAAAATACCACGTTAAGCGCATCGAAATACCACATTATGCACATCAAAATACCATATTAAGCACATCAAAATGCCGCATTAAGCACATCGAAATACCACATTAAGTACATTAAAATAGCGCATTAAGCAACATTAAAATACCGCGTTAAGCACATCGAAATACCGCATTTAGCACATCAAAATACCGCATTAAGCACATCAAAATACCGCATTAAGCACATCAAAATAGCGCATTAAGCACATTAAAATACCGCGTTATGCACATCAAAATACCGCATTAAGCACATCAAAATGCCGCATTAAGCACATCAAAATGCCGCATTAAGCACATCGAAATGCCGCATTAAGCACATCGAAACACTGTATTAAGCACATCAAAATACCGCATTAAGTAAATCAAAATACCGCATTAAGTACATTAAAATGTTGCATTAGGCACATCAAAATACCACATTAAGCACATCAAAATGCCACATTAAGCACATCGAAATACTGTTTTAAGCACATCAAAATACCGCATTAAGCACATCAAAATACCGCATTAAGTACATCAAAAGAGCGCATTAGGCACATTAAAATACCGCATTAGGCACATCAAAATACCTCATTAAGCACATAAAAATACCGCATTAAGTACATTAAAATAGCGCATTAAGCACATCAAAATACCGCATTAGGCACATCAAAATACCGCGTTAGGCACATCAAAATATTGTATTAAGCACATCGGCCCAATTTAAATCGTCCTCAATCGAAAACGCTGAGTATGCCATCTCTCGGTCAAGATACTAAGACAAGAGGCCATTGTTGGAAACCAGTGATTGCTGTAAGCTTTGACTTTCCTATGTATATAGGATATTTCATACCAATGCATTGCGGAAACCTTACAGATATGTTACATGTATCAGTGTTTTTTTAAATTTGTGAGGCGTGATCACATAAAACTCAAGCAAATCATTTTGTTTCAAACATATAACGGTCTATTAGCAGGTTTGGCAAAATTAAATAAAGCAAAATATCCGCGAGGCGGCAAGCACACAACTGGACTCGTCTAAAGAGTTGACGCAGGCATCCAGAGATGCATTCCGCGGTTGCAGGCGGATGTTTCAGCTGCAAAGTTTCGCAGATTTAACATGGGGAGCCCTGGACTCATCGCCTGCCGCTATTTGCAGCAGAAATAACTTAGGACAGGCTTGCAGTTGTTCTGTATGATTTAACATGGGGATCCCTGGACTCATCGCCTGCCGCTATTTGCAGCAGAAATAACTTAGGACAGGCTTGATTTTATCAGCTCTCATGCCATGGTGTTGATGATTGTCTTCACTAATACGCGTATATTCTCCCCCACAGGTTGTAGCCAACTATTTTGGTAACATTAAGAAGTATCAACCAGTAGATAACGTCAGTATACACTGGGCTGGTGGCAGAAATGAGGCGCCACCGGACACTCCAGAATGTGGGTTTGACGGGTCCAAATGTCCACCAGAAGGTCAGTCTGTTATGACAGTAACGTAGACCACCAATATCTTTCTGTTGTTGCCTCAAAATGTCTGAACATCTGCATCATTATCAAATGCATTGCGTGTTTGTATGTTCCTTTTTTTTTTCTTCTGACACACCCACATTTATGAAGTTGGTGACCATCTTTCTTGCTCTCTGTGTTTACCTTTGTAGGTGAAAGTGAAGTAATTATATTTTGGACTATCATACAACAAGGATCTAGCAAGTTACTCGATGACAAGTATAGTCAACTGCTGTAGTACAGAACATCTCACTGTGCTCCTGTTGGTTGCTTCTTACACGATATACTTTTATTAACTACATATGCCCTTAGGGAAACAGCAGAAATAAAGTAAGTAGAAGAGACATGGTGTGTTCAAGTGTGCTTATGTATTAGGGATATGCAAGAGGAAGAATAGAAAATAAGAAAAGCTGCATTAAAATTAGAATGCAACAACATGCATAAATATTTAAAAAAAAAAAAAAAAAACACACACAGTTAAGGTATTTCAGTTTTATGAACAGATAATTCAACTTTTTAAAAGATGTCCTTGAGTGAGCTAGTGAGGGGGGGAGAGGGGTGGGGGGGGTGGCGATGTGTTACTTAGTGGGGGGCAACATTGCAAGATGGAAACCTCATGTGTCTGTGATGACTCTTGATAGAGAATTATGAAACATTCGTCCCCTTGTGGGTTTCGGGCTCACCGGTGGGCGAGAGGGGGGAGGGCAGGGGGATAGACCCGCTCCCCCCAACAAGCATTTTGTAAAGGTCAAAAGGGTGCTTCTTTTGCAGTCGAGTGCATCTGCCTCAATATCGAGGAACTTACAGCCTACACAGAAATAAGCCAGGTCTGTAAAATGGATTTGCACACAAAACTCGAGTTCTAGAACAGTACCGAAATCAAGAAATGGACGAACAACCAGAACCTTCCACCGGAGTTTACAGCCTCTGAACACGAAGAAAAAGTTGGAATATTGTTACAGACCTTTAATGGAGCTATCATATTTGTCAATGGTGGTGAGGTGATGACAAGGAGGTAGAGGAGCAGGACAAAGTAGCGAATGAAGCATTAAAATGAACGAAGTTTTTTGGTAGGCTAATCATTTGGTTGTAATTACTTGCAGAGCCATTCCCTCTCTACGTGATTGTGATTATCGTCCTTGGGGCAGTGATCATCGCTGTTCTCATCATCGCCTTCTTTGTGTACAGGTGAGTGTAATTACGATCTTTGTGTACAGGTGAGTGTAGTTACGATCTTTGTGTACAGGTGAGTGTAGTTACGATCTTTGTGTACAGGTGAGTGTAGTTACGATCTTTGTGTACAGGTGAGTGTAGTTATCGTGTCTTTGTGTACAAGATCTTTGTGACAGTGTAGTTAAGATCTTTGTGTACAGGTGAGTGTAGTTACGATCTTTGTGTACAGGTGAGTGTAGTTAAGATCTTTGTGTACAGGTGAGTGTAGTTAAGATCTTTGTGTACAGGTGAGTGGAGTGTAGTTACGATCTTTGTGTACAGGTGAGTGTAGTTAAGATCTTTGTGTACAGGTGAGTGGAGTGTACGATCTTTGTGTACAGGTGAGTGTAGTTAAGATGGTGATCTTTTATAAAAACATGTTTGGTAAAGTATGTTCTAAACAGACAGAAATTTGAATCATTTGTTTCTTGACACATCTTTGCTTTAAAACCTTATTCTTGAATGAAAGAAACATTGTAAAAATAATCAAATCGCACGAATAAGGTACTTAAGGCATTTAAAAGATAAACGCGACGCTTGAGAGATATCTTTGCGATAAAGCTTGGGAGGAAGAATAATGTAAAAGGAAGACATTATAAAGTTGCAACTTGGAGTGGCTAGATTTGTGATTTCAGTGTAGATGTGGAGTGTCTAGGTTGATGCTGTAATAGATAGTGGGACTAAAAAAAAAAACTGTATTTTCGAGTTGAGCGATTAAAAAAAAAAAAAATTTTAATTTTGAAAAGAAGGCGGTGTGTCATTGATATTGGGAAACAGTGGTCTTATTGTCGGATTCCAAATTGGATTATAATTGCATCTATAGTTGTTTCTATATCGCACCGTCTATTCGCGGCATCGTCCAGTGTTTTGTTTTATATCAAAATTAAATTATGAAATATACTGGCAATCCCGCAATCACTTAATAGTGAAATTTGTTGTAATAACTGCCTTATTAAATGCATACATGATCAACCCTGGTCTCTCACAGACATATTCGTCTGGAAGCAGAGCTGGCAGAAATGAACTGGCGTGTTCGGTGGGAGGATATTCTGTTTGGATCCCCAGGTAAAAACAAGAAGTTGGAACGACAAGGCAGTCGACTGAGTCTGAACAGAGTAAGTGAACTATCGTGCTTAACTTTATGGAAGGTACAGAAAATATAAATAAGGGTATCGTTTACCTTCTCCTATATTCATTTTTATTTTTGCTTGGTGTTGTTTTTGTGTCACTTGTGTTGTTTTTAGGCTTGCTTGCTTGTTCTTAATCCTAGAGTAATTCGTGACCAGTTTTAACAGTTAGACATGACCGTGGAGCAGCCTAGGTAAAGCTGCTAGACGCTCGCCTGCGGGTCAGAAGGTCGTGGGTTCGGATCCTGACATTACCGCATTTTTGTTAAACTGACCCTAGCTTCAAGGTGAAATATACAGCCTTTTATCTTGAATGGATGGAGTTCTGGGAAGTAAAGGCGGCCGGTTTACTGCTAACCACACCCCTTCCCTAAGTGCTGATTGGTCTATAAAACTTAGGTCTAGCCCTATATGTCAAAAACGACTGGAGCAGTGGAGAATTGTCCTTAAGACATGATTGCAAGAAGGTTGTGTTTTAGTCTAAACTTTTACTTGTATTGATTTAGTTAACCTAATATGTGACTGAAAACCTACAGTAGACTGCAATTGTGCAGAAGCAAGGTAACCTGGTAATTAACTTATCTTATAAAATAAACTGTACAACAAACAGTGCATCTGCGTGGCTATGTATAGTATATTCCGACTGTACTGTAGCCTACCTTCCATTTGAAGATTACAACATTTTTAGCTACCTTGCGAATCGTATCGCTACGCTATTGCATCTAATTGTATCAATAGTAAATCAGTATACATATGCTGATACAGTATATTTCACTTGTTGATGTTGGTTCATCACAGAGGGAAATCACACAGGTACAAATATACAAACACATCAACATTGTTTTCTAACAGAAAGGTTCCTACAATAGCTCGTGTTCAGGGGACACCATCGCTGCACATCTGAACGACGGCAACAGACAACTCTACACCAAAACCGGATATTACAAGGTATTTTTTCACTCTCAGTCATGATTTCCTTTTTCCACTCTGACTAGTTTTTGTTGTTGTTGTTGTTGCTTAATCAGTCATTAGGTCTTTCAGCCAGCTAGTTATTCGTGTTTTCAATCAGTGAGTTATTCAGTTAGTCAAAGATAAAAGTAAAGTCGGGAGATGTGAGCCAGTTATAATCCATAGGTGTTCTGAAACCATTACTGACAGAACCACGTTATCCAGTTTCCGGTTTCCGGTTTCGAACACCGGCGATTGGCTGCAACGAGTTGCTGGATTTGAAAGCAAATCTCTTCTGTCGACTAACGCAGCTCCCTATGCATAGTCCTTTAGTAAGTAGCCATCCAGCCAGTCCGTTAATTAGTTATTCAGTCTGTCAGTTACTTTCACTATTGTGTTCTTTGCTAGTCGTCGGGTCGTCTTCAGTGCATTGCAAACAAGTCTATATAGGCCAAGGTGTTATGTTCAGTATACTCACCGCCATGCGGCGACTGAAAGCCTGACCATTGCTGATTCAACAGATATCTTCTGCTCCTAAAAATTAGCTGCGTATCCTTTACAGGACGTTGTAGAACCAATCCCAGCATGTGTTGGCTGTTGTGGTTTTTCTAGACACATTTACGTCCAGTAGTTTGCCATAGCTTTCTGGACGATAGTTTCTCGATACCACTGTGGAAACCAACGCAAGGCGCAAGACCCACACCTGGGACCCAACCCGGCACCTCGGAATTACGAAGCTCGTTCGCGACGCTTAAGCCACAGACGCCGACCTTCTAATCCTCATAGTCTTAGGTTAATTTCTAGCAACACCAGGTTCAACGAACAGCTAATAAAGCTGGAGAAACCATAGAACATTGGTCATGTCTTGAATACTCGACCCCGTCAACATCCTTGACATCGCTGAGAGCATCAGCCGGGTATATGATTCTACCACAGGTTGCTGGCACACCAGACTGTCCAGAATGCCTGCTTTTGTATCAGCGGTGGCTGCCTCGTGGTCAGGGCAGAACCCAGAAACTGTCAGAGCACACAACTCCTTGAGATTTCCTGGCTGTGCTCACTGGATTGATGTAGTTTGAAACTCGATACCGGCTCCGTAACCAGGGGAGGGCAGGCGGTGATGTGGCCCCTAAATAATACACCTTTTTCATGCTGAGTATTTCCTTATACATTAGTTATCATTTTCCTATATATTATTTACTTGGTTTTCAGGCATTTTTATTAGTATCTCGTTTCCTTAATCTGGATAGTTTGTAAGGGGTGCTGAGTACTTGTGCTTTCTTTGTGTCTGATGCCCCTGAAAGATTTGGACTTTATGTATTATTTTATTTACCTACCTTTCAGGCATTATTGTTAGTATCTCGCACTTAAACAAGGTCTAACCCTTCCTTTTCCCATCCTGATAGCTTGTAAGGAGAGCTGAGCTCTTTTTTTTTTTTTTTTTGAGGTTGGGGGGGGGGGGGTGGATGCCCATGAAACAGGTTGACTCAGGTGTGTCAAGGTATTAAATAGACAATGAAATGTTGACTGCCAGTCAATCGTAGATAATTGGCAGACACATGACAAACAATTAAATGGCAGCGGACATATGGTTCCGAGGTATATGCATGGAATAACATTGAACAGACAGGAAAAAAAATAGATTAGTCAGATCTTTAAAAAGAATGCGAGATTAAAGAAAATAAACATAAAATAAATGTGGACATAAAAGGATTTGTTAGAATCCTCCCCCCCCCCCCCACCCCCCCCCCTAAAAAATAATTTTTGATGACCCCCCCCCCCCCCCCCCAAATGGCGGGTCCAATAGGGACCTGGGAAGAGCTAAGATCATCGTTTCACTGTCAAATGACACAATTTTATCTGATGAAACATGATGATTACGATTAATATTACTGAGAGCTCTGAGAGGACAGTCACGTGACTGTTACACACTTTTACATACACAGGCTATCTTTCGCATACGGCGTGATGACCTGTCAAGTCAGATGCAATAGTTGCTACCGCTGTATGTCAGTGTCATGGTAATCTACACTGTTTCTTACTCATTTCATCATTATGACACTTGTCTTTCCTATTCTCCTCTATCCCTGCTTTTTCAAGAACTTCCACGAAGTTTGTTCCATATTTCCACTTGCATAATTAGCTAATGTTCTGCCTCTTTTTTGTGGACCAGTGGAATGCTCAGAGGATAGTCTATATATCAGCATTTCGAGGTTTTAAACATAATGCGCATGGTTGGTCATTATTTATCCACCGTTGAATATAGAGAATCCATTACCAGAAAAAAATATTGACAACTACAAATAGTAAATGTCACTGGTATCAGTGAAGTCACATAATAATGGACACAGAAGAAAAAGCCAACCTGTTTTAAAGAAATCAATAAGTGGTACACAAGGTAATATTACATGATGTGTGATTTGAACAGTATAATACCGAACACTTTTACTTCAAATGACATTTACCACATTTACCCACATTAAACTGCGTCCAACTGGGAAGAGGAAGATAAGTTTCAAAAATCACCTTTATGAGAATATGTGATCATCGAGCCGTTAGACAAGCACCCTGGCCCATTGAGCCGTTAGACAAGCACTCTAGCCCGTCGAGCCGTTAGACAAGCACCCTAGCCCATCAGCCGTTAGACAAGCACTCTAGCCCATCAAGCCGTTAGACAAGCACTCTAGCCCATTGAGCCGTTAGACAAGCACTCTAGCCCATCAAACCGTTAGACAAGCACTCTAGCCCATTGAGCCGTTAGACAAGCACTCTAGCCCATCAAACCGTTAGACAAGCACTCTAGTCCATCAAGCCGTTAGACAAGCACTCTAGCCCAGCAAGCCGTTAGACAAGCACTCTAGTCCATCAAGCCGTTAGACAAGCACTCTAGTCCATCAAGCCGTTAGACAAGCACTCTAGCCCATCAAGTCGTTAGACAAGCACTCTAGCCCATTGAGCCGTTAGACAAGCACTCTAGCCCATCAAGCCGTTAGACAAGCACTCTAGCCCATCAAGCCGTTAGACAAGCACTCTAGCCCATCAAGCCGTTAGACAAGCACTCTAGCCCATCAAGCCGTTAGACAAGCACTCTAGCCCATCAAGCCGTTAGACAAGCACTCTAGCCCATTGAGCCGTTAGACAAGCACTCTAGCCCATCAAGGCGTTAGACAAGCACTCTAGCCCATCAAGCCGTTAGACAAGCACTCTAGCCCATTGAGCCGTTAGACAAGCACTCTAGCCCATCAAGCCGTTAGACAAGCACTCTAGCCCATCAAGCCGTTAGACAAGCACTCTAGCCCATTGAGCCGTTAGACAAGCACACTAGCTCATCAAGCCGTTAGACAAGCACTCTAGCTCATTGAGCCGTTAGACAAGCACACTAGCTCATCAAGCCGTTAGACAAGCACACTAGCTCATCAAGCCGTTAGACAAGCACACTAGCTCATCAAGCCGTTAGACAAGCACACTAGCTCATCAAGCCGTTAGACAAGCACTCTAGCTCATCAAGCCGTTAGACAAGCAACCTAGCCCCAATTCTTCTTCGTCTTTTCGAGATATTGCTACCAAAATGCCTATCGCCCAGAGCTAGAGTAAGCGAGAGAGAAAGAGAGGATTGAGAGATAGCGAGAGAGAAAGAGAATAAGAGATAATGAGGATCAGAGAAGGAGAGAGTCTTCTGTAGTTGTCATAACCCTTGAAAAGGCAATCCATTAATAGAATTTCACAGCTGACAAAGCTGATTAGTCTAGACATTGTCGTTCTGGTGGGCAATAGTTAATAGAATCAGCCTAACTGTTTCTGGCGATGATTGGCCATCTCTCCACACACATGACAGGACATTTCCACCACGACGCATTGATAGACTGTGATCAATGTCTACCTGTGGCTTTAATCGTTACCTATATATATTACAAACTTACGTGAACAATCAATTGATTCATGTAAATATAGGATTGTTACTTTTACCGAAATGACGTCCAGTTTTGGCAAATTCCTTTGTTACGTGATTATAATCGTTGTTAGTATAAGGATTTTTTTTTTAAAATCTAAGTTCAAAATAAAGCTGAGGGAACATCTTTTTCTTCTTCTATACGTTCTCTTTTACCGCTTAGGATGTTGAGGGAGATATAAGGTCGTCTGGCTGTTTCGACCATAGACACATCGTGATGCTGTAGACTTTCTCTGATGTTATCTTCCCATTTTGTTCTTGGTCTGCCTCTTGCTCTACGTCCCTCTCCTCTTTTGGTATATACCTTGTGTGGCTTAGCATCAGAAAGCATTTTCTCCTAGTGAGCAAACCATATGATTTGTTGTATGTATGTGTCATTTAGAATTGGTTGAGTGCCGAATTGATCTCGTATGACCTAATTCCTGATTTTATCTCTTCTGGTCACTCTTACAGTCTTTCTCAGACATTTCATTTTTATGGTTACTAATTTACGTTTTTGATTTGTTTGTGTGTGAAAACGTCTGGCACTGATAGCATTGGATGGGAATAAATATGCTTTGCATGGCATGTTTCTTTGTGCTGATTGGGATTGCCTTATGCTGTAAAAAAAAAGGGGGAAGGGAGGGTTGCCTCATCGGATATCGATTTCTTCATTCAATTTACCATCTTCAATGAATGTTATTTCTTACTTACTTACTTACTTAGTCGCTCCTCTTCTACCTTGGGATGTAGAGGTTTGCCAGAGAGATCGCCAGACGTCTCTATCAGCAGTTTTCTTTCTGGCTTTGTTCCATTCCAGTCCTCTGTCAGTTAGGGACTGTCGGATGTTGTCTTCCCAGCGCACCCTGGGTCGTCCCGGAGGTCTGGTTCCCTGGTTCTTAGCCTCCCATGCTTGCCATGGTGGCCGATTTTCTCCCATTCTGCATACATGTCCAAACCATCGTAACTGTGACTGATCTACTCGGGTTACTAAGGGCTGGGTATCAAGATCTTGACGTATTGTCTGATTGCGGACTTTGTCCCTTCTTGTCACTTGGATACCTTTCTCAGGTATCTCATTTCCGAGGCCTGCAGCTGGCTTCTGTGAGCTGTTGTCATTGCCCATGACTCACACCCATAGGTCAGGACTGGTACATAGGTAGAGCGGTAAACAGCCATTTTCGTCCTCTTGCCAATTTCTCTTTTGCTAAGAAACCCTCGGTTTATGGCCTGGATGAGTCTCCCAGCAGCTGCTTTTCGTGTAGCCAGCTCAGTCTTAATGCCTCCATTTTGGTCTAATACAACTCCAAGGTATCTGAACTGGTTAACCTGCTCCAACGCATACTGTCCCATCATGATCTGGTGTTTCTTCTCCTCTCTTGAGATAACCATGGTTTTAGTTTTGGAGACACCGATGGTCATCCCTTTCTTTTCAAGCTCTTCCTTCCAGACAAGTAAGTTGGACTGAAGGTGTGCCTCTGATTTAGCTATCAGGGCCACATCGTCTGCAAAAGCCAGCTCTCATATACAGATTGGTTTCATCTTCCAGTACCCTACAGAGTACTTCTTTGTCTTCTCCTTACAGGTCTTGATGACATCATCCATCATAATAATGAAGAGGTAAGGTGAGAGAATATCACCTTGTCTAACACCGCTGGCAGTCTTGAATTCTTCTGACTTTTGGTCTGCTGTTCTTACATAATTTCTGCACTTTTTGTAGAAACTCTGTATTGCACTGATCAGGGGTGCTGGGATGTTTTTCCCTGCCAAGCAGTCCCAGAGCTTGTTCCAGGGTACCTTGTCAAATGCCTTTTCCAGATCCAAAAAACATAAGTGCATCTCACTCTTATATTCCAGGGCTTTTTCACTCATCTGTCTCAGTGTGAAGATAAGGTCTTGAGTACTTCGGTTTGCTCTGAAGCCGCATTGGGCCTCGTCCAGCTGTGGCTCTACCAGACTTCTAAGTCTCTGCTCAAGAATTCTAGAGTAACTTTTACCAGGAACGCTGAGGAGGGATATGCCTCTGTGGTTTTCACATTGTCTGTTATCACCTTTTTTAAATATAGGTATAACGATGGCAATCTCCCAATCTTTTGGTATAGTTTTGCTACACCAGGCTGCCTGGAGAACCTTCAGTAGAAGGCGCTCACCTTTGACTCCCATATATTTGAATGTTATTTCAAGATATCTAAAATCTGACGCCTGATTAAAATATGTATGTTCTAATGCTATATTTAAATTCTGCTTCTTTCTTCCTATTGACCTTACTTCTGTCTTTTCGATCTAGATTCTTATACTATTTGATTAACATTTTTTACTCACTGATGCGAGATGTTTCTGCACATTCATGACTGTATCTGTAATCAAGACCTGGTTATCAGCACAAAGTAATTCGTTGATGTTACTATTATTTTCGTTCCTTGGCCTGGCAACCTTGCTTATATTGTCAGTGTAGGTGATTGACTAAAGTGGTCATAAGTCACACCCTTGTCTAATTCCAGATGTTACTTTAAAAAGTTTAGATGTTCCCAGATTTATTCTACCTACGCTTCCTCAATCTCCGTATAAGCTTTTGCAAAACTTCAATGAGGCGTTCACTTACTCCCTATGAAGCTATTACCTTCCATAATTTTTGTCTATCGACCCTGTCGAAAGCTTTTTCCTGGTCTACAAATGTTACAAAACAAGCTCTGATCTTATTCGATGATCTCTTCTCTTCTATTAACTGTTTAAGTGTGAAGATTGCATCTGTGCAGCTTCCATTTCATCTTAAACCCATCTGTTCTTCTGTCAACTTTTGTTCTTTCACTGGTCGCAGCCTCGTTTCTGTTATTTTAGCATAATCTATAATCTCCCCACAGTACACACTAAGTCGCTTCTGATTGGTTGACCTCCAGTCACCCGACCCTCGCACACAGGGGGGTGTTAGACAATCCGTTTACATCGCGTGTTGTACATTTAACCACGCCACCGCTTTTAACACTACAAAAACATTTACAAAAATGGGTCTAACCAATAACCCCCCCCCCCCTTCTCTCCTAGAGAGTGATGCAACCTATGTCACAGACATATATTTTTTTTTTTTTTGAATAAAAACGTAAATGCAAGACAAGCCAGAAAGTTAACAACATAGCCATAACCCTCCAGACAACAGGCTAGTCTAAAATAGCTATCAATGGACCGTGACCTAGTTCGGCCCCCGGGGAAGGGGGGGGGGGGGGTTATAGTAGATCAAACCTATTTTTCCAACATGTAAAAGAGAGACGTCTCGATATTGACTGCATTCTGGCTTACTTTCCTTGTTCTTCCACAATGGTACAACGATTACATGTTTCCTGTCAATGGGAGCAGTTTGTTGTACCCATGCCGCATTGAATATTCTATAGAGCCATCTAATGTTGCTTTCACTTGCTGCTTGGATTATTTCTGTTGGTAATCTATCAACACCTGCTGCTTTATATTGGGTGACTACATAATGACTAACTACTTCAGTAATTAGTATGTCAGGCTCTAGCATTGTTGCTTTGAAGTCTTTGGCTGTTCTTTGCTGGCAATCTCCTAAGGGGTTAAAGAGCTCACTGAAGTATTCTCTCCATCTGTCAGCTATCTCTGATGGGTCTATTCATAGTTTTCCTGTTCATAAGGAAACATCACAAGACTGTTGAGTCTCACCCACATCGTGTCAGTAAATGTTTTCCTGACCATCAGTGTCGTGTGTTCTGTGGGAGTTAACTTTGTATCCTAGGACGAACTAGCCTGAAATGGGTGACAGATACTACAGGGAAATATCCGGTCTACATGATATAATTGATGTAGGGTATGCTGGTCTCGTCGAATAAAGGGGTACCACCAAAAACCTAATATGTCCTAATGTGTGAACAATAGCGAGTACTACTACTGCTGAGTGCAATTACTTACATGATGCTTACACCCTGTAATATGCAAAGACTCATAAACCTATTATAACAAATGATAAATATAAGCTGCATTCCCTGTAGAGTAAACCAGTAGACCTCGACTGGAACAATGAAACACACATGTATAACCTATGATGTCATTTCTCAGGGCGCCATTGTTGCAATCAAGCCAGTCGACAGAGGATGTGCTACAATCCACAAACCACTCTTGCTGGAAATCAAACGGGTATGTATCTCGTATTCTCCTACACCGACTACGTTTTCACTTCATTTATTTGTCCAAGTACCCGTACGTATAACTTTTTTCAGTATTCATATGTCAGAAGTGTGTCAATACGCCTACTTTTTTCTAGTTTGTATTGATAATTTTATGTGAGACACCAAATGCAAAATACCTAACCTCCAGTTATGGACTGTGAACAGTTTAAATGTTCACACATCTTAAGGTACATCTCTGATTCTTGTTTTGGGTAAAAATATTATCTTGTTACTGTCATAATAATGATGGTACTCAATACAATTGCGTGTAATACAAATGTACAAAGACGTTTACATCTTGCTTTGTAAACTGGTAATATTATTTCAGGTTCAGAAACCCATACTTGTCCATCTCTGGCGAATGTTGTTCCCATATATTTTAACTCGGATGCCTCCTAATGCCTTTGCACTCTACTGCTATATTCAGTTTCTGCTTCCTTGCATTGATATCTATTTTCGTCCTTTTAAGGACGAAATTTTTTGTTATTTGAAGCCCCACCCTGGCTTTTGCTAGGGGCCGCAATATAGGCAGGCCATAAATATGGCAAATTCTCTGAAGGCGGTTTCTGGGACCTCTCCACGGCGATCCTCATCCACATGGTGGCACTTTGTGTCATCGGGTTTTTATCGCTTGTGTCATATCCTAGTAGGGTAGAAAGTCAGTCAGTCAGTCTGCTTCCTTGTTCTTGTCTTTTTAGTGTTGATTCTCGTATTATTTGTCGACAATCTGATTGAAAGATGTTAGATTCGGCTAAGGTTTCATGGCTGAATCTGCTTTTTAGACCCTGTCATTAACAAAGAGTAATTCGTTGATCATACAAATATTTCAAGAAGACCATAGTGAACGGACATGTTGGGAGCAGACGATTACAAAGTAGCCTGTGGTATAAGCTAAAAGATAACACCAACAGACGAACTTGAGTCTTAGAGTGTACAACCAGGATGACAGTCGCAGAATGATAGCTATCTTTTGCCACTTACTTTCATTTAACTGCTCTGAATGAAGTGTGGTTTTTACACAATTGCTCACACTAAATCAGATATTTAGTCACTGTGTACGTTGTTACACAGATTGTCTCAGTTACTGTGTACATTCTTACACAGATTGTCTCAGTTATTGTGTACATTCTTACACAGATTGTCTCAGTTACTGTGTACATTGTTACACATATTGTCTCAGTTACGGTGTACATTGTTACACATATTGTCTCAGTTATTGTGTACATTGTAGCTCAGATTGTGACAAGTAATGTGTACATTGTAGCTCAGATTGTGTCAGGTTAGCTCAGAATTGTGAGGTATTCTGTGCTTGTGTACAATACAGGGTTGCTCAGATTGTGTCAAACAATGTTACCTGTAAGCTCATATTGTGTTAGCTCAAATTGTTAAGTAAAAGTTGTTTATTTGTGATTATTTTCGTATTTTCCATCTCACAGTGCAAGTATCACAGGAGTACATAGTCATGCAAATGATTATGTACAAGATATAAAATACTAGTTAGAGAATACCAGCTTTAGTAAATGAGGCCACACAACTGACATTAGGTTCCTCTTCTGTGTGGCTACTTATAACCCTGATGCCTTTACTTGTGTAATCAAAGGATGCTTTTCCACACCTTCAATTGGTCTTTTTTTAAAGAGATTATTATTGAGCTAGCCAACCGTCCTGTGGTGTTCTTTGGAAAACAAAATTATTGTTCCAAGCCTCAAAATGAATGGCAGATATATAAAGAGAGACAAAAGACTGCGGTACATGGGAATCACCTTTGACAGAAGCTTGTCTTTCAAGGACCACATAGAGGTTGTTGTGTCAACGGCCCAAAAGGTCTTAATGCACTAAAGATTATGGCAGTCATGGACATGGAGCTGTGGATGCTGTTAGTTAGTTAGTTAGTCTTTCCTCTTGTGTCGAGTGCGGCACATAGGGCAGATGTCATGACTCTTCATGGTGGTTCGTTGCAATCTGTTGTAGTTAGTACTGGAATCACACAAGAATTGAAGATCTTGAGTTTTGTGTGTTTGCAAAGTGTCTTTGATTTCCAGATGTTGGACAGTTTATTGAAGGCACTAGATGCCAGTGCTATTCTAAATGGTATTTCTGGTGCGGTATCTCCTGTAGATGACATTTTGCTCCCTAGATAAGTGAAACTGTTGACTTTTTCAAGGCTGTTGTTCAGCGTGAAATCAACTTGGTAAGGACTAGAATTTTTGTTTTTGCGGTGTTAATTTGGAGTCCAATTTGTTCTGAGAAATTCTGGAGTCGATTGATTTTTTCTTGGGCGTCGGTGTGTTCTGAACTCAGGAGTGCTATGTCGTCGGCGAAGTCTAGGTCTTCCAGAATTTTGTCAACCCATGTAATGCCTAAATTTGCGTTATTTATGCACTTGCGCATGACCCAGTCGATTGCTATACCAAAAAGCATCGGCGATAGGACACAGCCTTGCTTCACTCCTGTTTTCCACGGGAACCAGTCAGAATTGCCGGAATCAGTTCTTACACAGCATCGTGTTCATTATAAAAAGATTTTATTGGTGTTGATATATTTGATGGGGAAACCATAGATGTTAAGCAATTTCCAGAGTGTTGGACGATGGATACTGTCGAAGGCTTTTTGGAAGTCGACAAAGTTGATCAATAATTTCTACAGGAATTGTGTAGAATCTTCAACAATTATTCTAAGAGTAAAGATGTGGTCTATGCATGACCGCTTGGATCTAAAACCGGCTTGTTCTTGCCTTAATCTTTCATCTATGGATTTTTTCAATCTTTCTAGTAGCATACTACAAAATAGTTTCCCTGGTATCGAAAGCAGGGTGATGCCTCTCCAGTTGTTACAATCGGATAAATCACCTTTGTTAGGTAATTTGAAGATTACACCATCTTTCCATTGTTGTGGTGGGTATTCGTTTTGCCAGACTTCATCCATCAGCTGGAGCAAATGTTGCAGGGTGTTTTCATCCGCTGCTTTGAGCATTTCCCCTGAGATGTTGTCCTCTCCGGTAGCTTTGTTTATTCTTAATTTTTTAATAGCTGTTTTAATCTCCTCTATTGTGAATGACTCGCTGGAGGCAACTAGTGTCGGTGTAATAATTTCTTCTTCTAGATTGGGAATGATGTCAGGATTTGGTCTATTTAATATTTCCTTGAAATGTTCTGCCCATCGCTTTGTTTGTTGGTGGTCGGATAGCAGTAGTTTACCCTGCTTGTCTTTAATGAGTGTATTTAGTGTAGGTGAATGATTGCACAGTTGTTTCATAATGGAATACGGCTTTGTTGTTTCCAGTCTTGGCAGCTGTTTCAGCATCGGAGGCGAGGTCGTGTATGAAGTTCTGTTTGTCTGTCCTTGCATTTGATTTCACTTCTTTGTCTAGCGTGCTGTATTTTTCGTATGAAGATGTGTCTTTTTTTTTTTTTTTTGTTGATAAAAGTGTTAATTTTGCTTGTTTCCTTTCGTGGATTTTTGACCAAGTGTTGTCGCTTAGCCACTTCTTTTTCTGCTTTTTTACATAACCAACTGTGTTTACTGCAGCGTTCGTCAGTGTTTTCTTGAAAAAGTCCCAATTTTTGTCTATGTTATTTGTAGTATCCGCATTACTAGTTTTGGTTACATAGGTGGTGAGTATCTCTGCATTAAATGCGCTTTGATGATCTTTTCACAAAAGGGCTTGTAAGTTTATTTTCTTATTTCTGGGTGGTTTAAGTAGAGACTTGAGTTTAATTTTTAGTTTGGCAATACAAAGATTACGATCACTGCCAATAGCAGCTCCCCTGTAGGCTCTAACCTCTTGCACTGATGTACGGAATTTGGCGCTGATGCTAAAATGATCTATCTGGTTTTTTGTTATCTGGCGAAATCCAGGTTATTTTATGTATGTCTTTGTGCGGAAATAAGGAGCTTGCTACTGTTAGATCTGCTATTTCACAGAGTTCAATTAGTCTCTCTCCGTTTTGATTCGTATCTCCTGGGCTTTGTACTCCCATATATTTTTGAACACCTTTGTTGTCAGATCCTAACCGGGCATTAAAATCGCCCATCACAACAAGGAGGTCGTGCTTAGGAGTTTTGTTTATGACACCAACCAGGAGGTCGTAGAAATTATCTTTGTTGCTGTCGGTGCCGTTGTTCGTAGGTGCGTAGCACTGTATAATAGTTAGTTTGAAATGTTTGGTCTGAAAACGCGCTGTTAAAATTCTGTCATTTACTGGTTCCCAGCCGATTAGCGATTTTTCCGTTGTTTTTGACATAATGATGGCGACTCCGTTTGAATGGTGGTTGTCTGTTCTTCCCGAATAGATGATATGTTTTTGTTCACAACTTAAAAATATTTTACCCGAACCATTCCATCTACACTCACTGACACCGAGAATATCCAGGTTGTAATCGTTCACAACATTACACACTTGAGCTGTTTTCTCCGTTTGGTACATGGTTCTAACATTCTAGTAACCAATTTTAAAGATGTCCTTCGAATTTAACAGATTAAAACGAATCATCATGCAGTTAGAGCCAGAAATCTGATTCTACAATAATTGGTGGTTTGCGATGACAGCTTGTCGGACCGTCGATCAACCGATATGCGCCGAGCTAGAGAGAAACACGTCCCGCCATCTTGACACAAACCGGAAACCACGGATGCTGTTAATCATCTCAGTAATTGATTATGGACTGGGCTTGCCCCCTCTCTCGAAGACTCAGTTAGTGAAACTGGAGCGCACACAGAATGAAGCTATGTGGGTGATCCTGGGATGTACAAAAGACACCCCGATTGTGTGCATGCGATACATCATTGCATTGTAGACTATTGTAAATATGCTAAAGGTGCTGC